TTTGTTTGTTCTAAATAAACACTGACTATTTTTCAGATCAGGGTATGCTTTATAATTTAACATTTCTGTAGGCCATATTTTATATACTTTTTAAAATATTTAAAATATATTTATAAGTATTTATTTTTTAAATATTTTTGTAATATTATTTAATATATTATAATATTATATTTTATTTCAAATATTTTTGCATGTTACCTTTTATATCTTTTTTTGCTGTTTCATGTATTGTTCATTTGTTTGGTTTATTTAAAAATATTTTTAAAATATTTTATTTGTATTTTTAAATATGTTTGTAATATTTAATATTATATATTCATATTATATTATTTTATTTTTTTCATATTTTGCAATATTATTTTATTATTATTATTACAATATTATAATTTATTTTTAAAATATTGTTGCATGTTACCTTTTACATTTTTGCATTTTACCGAGTTTTTTTTTTTTTTTTCATAATTGTGTTGCTGTTCACATTTCCCTGAAAAGCCTATAATAAGCTGTTTAATGTTACATTGTGACAACGTGCCCCGATATCGGATGTGTGGCGTGTTAAATTAATATTATATTTTTTTCCTGGACAGCAAATGTGCAAGTGCTAAATAGTTTTTTTTTTTTTGTCAAGGCTGTAGAAATGGACGTTTAAAACCACACTGATAAATATTTGCCGGAGTAAATACACCTTATTGTTATTAATAAATTGCACTAACATGGACAGCAATGTAAAGAGTCATTGTAACACTAACTTAGCCTGAGCCTCGTCCAGGCTCTGGTCGGTGATGGTCATGATCTGATGCAGAATGTCTCCGATGTCCTGCTTGTTTCTCGCGTCGGTTCCGTCATGAGGCACCGGTAAAGCCACCGGGTGTCCGGTGAGGGTCACGCCGCCCAGGGTCTGCATCAGATGACTCTGCTCCTCCATCCTCTGACTCAAAGAGCTCTGACTTTTTAAAAATCCGCTTAAGAGAGATTTTGATGCCGTCCTGAATCAGTGCAATGAAAATGACGGATGCGCAAGAGTCCCGAGTGCGCGAAAACAAAAAAGTGCTTTAATAAAACGATCCACTGATTTCCAGAATCAGCAACAGTCTAGTGCACTTTGATGCTGTTACTGTTCATCATTTACCTCGTTGCAATGTTTTTTTCACACTGTTAAACCATGCAGTCCAGTGGAAGCTTCTGCAAAACTTCAGAAAATCCCCCTCTATTTGATTTCCATCCTTGAGTAGAAAATCAATTAGGGATAAAAATGGGATGCATATAAGCTGCTATAAACCACTGGCTTTCCAGTGTTCTTTCTTCCTGTTGGTGAGCTGTGGAATAACACGGACAGGTTGTTAAACGCACATCGCTCTTCTGGATGATCTACAGCAGATGTAATGGGTTGTGAGAATATCCGTGTGGATTCCTGTGTGCGTCTCGAGCACAGCAGCTCCTCCTGTGTTGCACAACAGTGTGCAGACAGTCGGCTCCGCCCACCTGGGGTCTGCAAATGTGCATCTGTGCTCACAATTACATACATATAGGTCCAGAGTCTGGACGAGGCTCAGGCAAAGTTTTACAATGACATTGCTGTCCATGTCAATACATTTTATTAATAACAATTTATTAACACACAGATTCGCACGTCACATTTTTACCTCCGGCGAATATTTATCAATGTGGTTTTAAAAGTCCATCTATCTATACGGTCTTGAATACAAAAAAAAGAAGCTAATTAGCACTTGAACATTGCACTGTTGCTGTCCAGGAAAAAAAAAAAGATACAATTCGTTTAACACGCCACACATCCTATAGCGAGGTATGTTTGTCAAACCATATGGGGTAAGTTGTCACACTGTCATTAAACAGCCTATTACAGTTTTTCTCAATTGCCTTGGCTCAATTCTCGAATGAAACTTTTTTTTCCCGAAACAATAAGTTCAGATCTCTGAACAATTAGCTTCTTGTTCACATCAGATTGGAATTTCTTGTTTCGAAAAATGTGCCAAAGCAATTGAGAAAAACTGTAAAAGTGTAGAAAATATTCTATAGCCTATACAGTGTCATTTGTAACAGACTACCACTTGTTGTGTGTCAAAAAAATGGATGGATGGATGGATAGATATATAGACAGACAGACAGGTAGATAGATAGATAGATAGATAGACAGACAGACAGGTAGGTAGATAGATAGATAGATACAATCCTCATCCACAATTTAAGGTCTGCGTCAGCCATCAGGCAGCCTTATCAGTGGTGCACGAGATGCGATGACGATGAATGTGTCATTGATTGCATTTTAATGTTTTTGTTAGCCTATCCAGTTGAACCCACTAGATGCGACGCTGCTACGTTGTTCATTCAGTATATTGCAGAAAACGAGAGCATCAGTGTGGAGAAGATGTTGTTTACGTCAAAACTGAAACCAAGCCGTTCAAAATTCGAATTTAGTTTTTCAGTCATTTTGACAGCCCTAGTAAGCAATCATTGTTGATAAATCCCACATGTGCGTAAGTAACACGTTCATGGTCATTTGCATTTGGAAACGCCTTTAATGAACAATATATGGTGACAACACCTCCCTTTATAAATCACATGAATGTATGTGTCCTCCCCGAAATCATGGCAAAGAAAGCGGTACCGACTGAGAAGCCATTCTGTGCTCTCACTCTCAGCGCGGTCTTTGAACACGCGTTCTCTGCGGAGCGCATTGTTTGCCAAGTCTTCCAATAACGCAAGATAAGCCATTGTACTGAGACAAACATTTGTCACAGCTGTCTTTTATAGGGTTTGACACCAATTACGCAACTTGTCTGTTTAAAACCAGACAAATTATAAATTGAGTGTTTTATAATTAATGGAAACACAGGACATATGTGGATTGCTTAATGCATACGGTGACACTCTTAAATGCTTTTTATATGTAGTGTCGCTATTCTACCACTAGATTCTCTGCGTAAGCATGCTCAGAGGTGTGCTTATATTTACACACATTTCTACGTATAAGTACAAGTTGGTAGATCCCACACTTTGCGTGAAACTGTTCTTACGCACTTATTACGCACACATCTGTGCGTATGCACTGTTGATAAATGAGGCCACAGGGATTTTTGTAAAGTTTCCGGAAATTTACTGGAAATTTTCCACCCCTTTGCAACCCACTCCAAATTGGTCTATAATGCAATGCAATACAATAATGATTGAGAGATGAACAGATCAACATTCTTCTAAAGCCTGAAGATCATTGATACTCACATTTTGACTTTTGACTAAAAGTGATGTAAGGATAATCAAGTAAACCTAAGTTGCTTCAGTCCAGGAAGTGTTCATCTTGAAATACTAACAATATAAAAGTTATTCTTGCATTAACTTTATAAAGATCAGTAAAGATTTCACAGCAAAAAAAACCGTTAAGAACGAGATGAAGGTGGATGTTTTTACAACTATGCTAAAAGACCTTTGACTTACTAAAAAATGTAAACTATCAATCAGACGACAGAAGGCATGTAGTAGATTGTGAACAGCAGAATTTTCAGCAAAGTTTTGATCATGTAGAAATTTGCATATCAAGTATGATACAGTAGGCTTTATAGGGTTAATGTATTACGCAAGTCATTGTATGATATTTGTGGCTTAATGCTTAAACATCTGGTCTGTGTTACCCTGTAGGCAGGCATCCATGTCCCACCATGGAGAGGAGAAAATAACCCCAAAAAGAAGGAAAAGAAGACGCTGCATTGCTGAGGAATCTTCAGCCTCTAACTCCGACTGAGGGTTGGCACATCCGGACGGAGAACCGGAGAGCGACAGAGGGGCGAGGGGCTGGTGCTTAGAATGGCTTTCCTCGACAACCCCGCCATCATCCTGGCCCACATCCGGCAGTCGCACGTGACCAGCGATGACACCGGGATGTGTGAGATGGTCCTGATCGACCACGACGTGGATTTGGAGAAGTGCCAATTGTCTGCGGCGTCCGCTGGTGGAGGCTCGTCCGGGGGATCGTATGGAGACGGCAGCAGTGGAGGAGACGGCCAGAACTGCGATCTCTCTCAGTCTGTCGACATCACCTCCAGCTGGGACTTCGGCATCCGACGGCGCTCCAACACAGGCAAGTAGCTGTCTGACTCTCAGACTTTCTGCTTTCGGAGACCTGAAACTAGCTTAATGATGTGGTTGGTACAGGTAAAGATGAAACGCCCAAAACCTTCTCACACTTGGTTTTAAGATTGTTAGATGAGATGAGAAAAGCAAATATTGCCCAGTTATTTTTACATTTGCGCAATTTCCAACATTTTTGTGTGATTACTGCATTTGGCTAGATTTGTAACGAGAACCGTTTATAAACCTGTTGTCACAGAAACTTGGAAGGCTTCCCTGCAGTTTTTCACCAAAGTAAAAGTTCAAGGTTTAACTCTTTCGAGTATTAATTAATCACTGCCCAATAGAGTGGGGGAACTATGACGTCAGAATCCGGAAGAGTAATTCACCACGGGTTTTTGCAACCCACTCCAAATTGGTCTATAATGCAATGCAATACAATAATGATTGAGAGATGAACAGATCAACATTCTTCTAAAGCCTGAAGATCATTGATACTCACATTTTGACTTTTGACTAAAAGTGATGTAAGGATAATCAAGTAAACCTAAGTTGCTTCAGTCCAGGAAGTGTTCATCTTGAAATACTAACAATATAAAAGTTATTCTTGCATTAACTTTATAAAGATCAGTAAAGATTTCACAGCAAAAAAAACCGTTAAGAACGAGATGAAGGTGGATGTTTTTACAACTATGCTAAAAGACCTTTGACTTACTAAAAAATGTAAACTATCAATCAGACGACAGAAGGCATGTAGTAGATTGTGAACAGCAGAATTTTCAGCAAAGTTTTGATCATGTAGAAATTTGCATATCAAGTATGATACAGTAGGCTTTATAGGGTTAATGTATTACGCAAGTCATTGTATGATATTTGTGGCTTAATGCTTAAACATCTGGTCTGTGTTACCCTGTAGGCAGGCATCCATGTCCCACCATGGAGAGGAGAAAATAACCCCAAAAAGAAGGAAAAGAAGACGCTGCATTGCTGAGGAATCTTCAGCCTCTAACTCCGACTGAGGGTTGGCACATCCGGACGGAGAACCGGAGAGCGACAGAGGGGCGAGGGGCTGGTGCTTAGAATGGCTTTCCTCGACAACCCCGCCATCATCCTGGCCCACATCCGGCAGTCGCACGTGACCAGCGATGACACCGGGATGTGTGAGATGGTCCTGATCGACCACGACGTGGATTTGGAGAAGTGCCAATTGTCTGCGGCGTCCGCTGGTGGAGGCTCGTCCGGGGGATCGTATGGAGACGGCAGCAGTGGAGGAGACGGCCAGAACTGCGATCTCTCTCAGTCTGTCGACATCACCTCCAGCTGGGACTTCGGCATCCGACGGCGCTCCAACACAGGCAAGTAGCTGTCTGACTCTCAGACTTTCTGCTTTCGGAGACCTGAAACTAGCTTAATGATGTGGTTGGTACAGGTAAAGATGAAACGCCCAAAACCTTCTCACACTTGGTTTTAAGATTGTTAGATGAGATGAGAAAAGCAAATATTGCCCAGTTATTTTTACATTTGCGCAATTTCCAACATTTTTGTGTGATTACTGCATTTGGCTAGATTTGTAACGAGAACCGTTTATAAACCTGTTGTCACAGAAACTTGGAAGGCTTCCCTGCAGTTTTTCACCAAAGTAAAAGTTCAAGGTTTAACTCTTTCGAGTATTAATTAATCACTGCCCAATAGAGTGGGGGAACTATGACGTCAGAATCCTGAAGAGTAATTCACCACGTGTTCCTTCGAGATTTTCCTATGGGGTTTTATAATGGGGGTTTTCAATTAATGAGTAAAATAAAGCTTGTAGTAAACATACCTTGACAATACTTTTATGTTTTGTTCTACAATGTAAACTGCACACACTCACAGCCCAAATGTTCTTATCTAGTTACTTATTAAAAATATACGTTTTCAAAAATGAACATAACTCTTTCAAAATTTGTGTTTTGGGTATGGATGTGTGTAATTTACATTGTAGAACAAAACGTAAAAGCATCGTCAAGTTATGTTTACAAGCTTTATTTTACTCATTAATTGAAAAACCCAATTATAAAACCCCATAGGAAAATCTCGAAGGAACCCGTCGTGAATTACTCTTCCGGATTCTGACGTCATAGTTCCCCCACTCTATTTTATTCCCTTAATGTTGTGGCAATTTTTCCATGTGTTATCAAAAATGGTATTGATTATCTATATTATTCAAGGCATTGTATTAAAGTTAGAAATTCCAGTATCGTGTCACTCAGACCAACTTAAAGGAATAGTTCAGCCAAAAATGAACATTTGCTGAAAACTTGCTTACCCTCGGGCCATTCAAAACGCAGATGAGTTTATTCATTCATGGGAACAGATTTGGAGAAATTTAGCATTACATCTCTTGCTCACCAATGGATCCTCTGCAGTGAATGGGTGCCGTCAGAATGAGAGTCCAAACAGCTGATAAAAACATCACAATAATCCACACCACTCCAGTCCATCAGTTAACATCTTGAGAAGTGAAAAGCTGTGTGTTTATAAGAAACAAATCCATCATTAAGATGTTTTTAACTTCAAACCGTTGCTTCCAGCTATAATAAGATAAAATAAATATAAGGATAAAATAAAAATCCATAAACTGCTTCCAGTAAAAAAAAGTCATATTGTGTGAATCAGTAGAAAAATATTCACAGATCAAGCATCGTTTCAAGCAAAAAATAGTTCAAAACAGCTCTAAACAAATATGTGGGTGGATTTTGATGTGAGAGGACAACAGGAAATGGACCTTTTCACCGGAGGAAGCGTTATTGTGGATAATGAGCTATTATGGCCAGAAGTGATGGTTTAAAGTTAAATTATCTTACTGATGGATTTGTTTCTTACAAACATGCAGCTTTTGGCTTCACAAGACATTAACTGATGGACTGGAGTGGTGTGGATTATTGTGATGTTTTTATCAGCTGTTTGGACTCTCATTATTATTATTGATCTAAAACATTTGTTCACTTAGCAAAATATGGCATTAGAGGAAGTTCTGTGTATTTTTATTTCTGAACTCATTTAATGACAGGCTGCTGAGGGCCCTAAATGCAATTGATTTGCAATTGAAAAAAACTGCTTCCTAAATAGAGATCATTCAGAAAACCTGAAAGAATTGTTAATGCAATCCTTAAGGAGCCAGTATCTTTAAGTGGAATCTGAATCAGAGCCAGAATCGTTCATTTCCTTACTATTCCCATCCCTGCTGCTTACTGATTATCAATAGGCTGAAACCTTGGAGCAAAACAAAGCAGAAAGTTAGGCTGGACTTAAACACTATGGCCTGGTTTCACAGACGGAGTTTAGGTTAAGCCAGGATTAGGCCATAGTTCAGTTAGGACATTTAAGTAGCCTAGCTTTTATAAATGTGCCTTAGATAAAAACACTACTGATGTGCATTTTGAGACAAATCAATGGCGCTGACAGATTTTAAGATCAGTCAGTGCAAGTTTCCTTCAGTTAAAACAGCCCAGACGTATATTTTACTCTGGGATTAGGCTTAAGCCTTGTCTGTGAAACCGGGGGTAAATCCTTTTGCTGTTTTGTCTTTCCCTGAAAGCTTTCCTGTTAATGCAGCCACGTTAGTCTTTACTGTACCAACCACTCAGAATAAGCAGGAAAAATAATCTGTACTGGGGCTAAATAAATGTTTACATAAATGAAAAGGAAATTTCACAATGCATTTTGATCTCAATAGGTACCATTTGAAATGAATTGTTTCTTTGGGGGAGTTTGTTATTTTATTATCTGATTTTTCCTTTTCTGTGATCAAGGGTTAATCTGATTGTGCTTGTTGGCTGGGAATGGCAACTGACTGAAACTGATTTGTACTCTTAGACGATCTTGCCCTTGCAAACCTGTTTCCAGTGCTAAAATAGTTTCTTGTGAAATTGGATCTTTTGGAATCAGTTGTAAGCTTATCTGATGATTTTTTTTTTTTTAAACAAATTATACATTAAGTCAAGTCTTTCAGTATTAATCCTGTTTTAAATCATCAGTACGAACACAGTTTTTAGTGTTTTGATATTAGACTACAGGGCTCGCAAAATCGCTAGCCCGACGTCCCGGGGCTATTGTGTTTTCCAGTCGGGCTACCAAAATGTAGGCCTATCACTGCCCTGCCCGACGGGCTATCTTGAATAGTGATATAAAATCCCGTCCTTGATTAGCGTTGTTCACTCGCTTGTAGGGGTGAAACGGATCATAGTTTATCATTTACACGTGTTTCTAAGTCTTACCAATTTAAACATTCAAGTGTTTTAAACCATTCATGCGCATGAAGAATTCAGTTCGGTGCTCGCCAGTGTTGCCAAGTCCGTGATTTTCCCGTGGAATTGGGCTACTTTAACACTGCTGCCGCGGGTTGATTTTCATGTCCGTGGGTTTAAGTGACCCCAATAACTTGATATTTAGTCCCTAAAATGCGAATTTTACCAGGGGAACCCCACCAAAAACAAAAAAAGCGATTTTTTACCGGGGGATCCCCCTCGAAATGCAATTGGGCTAGTTTTGAGTAGCAGTTGGGCAGGTTTTGTTGTGAAAACCTGGCAACCCTGGTCCTCGCGCGCACATGCTCAAAGCGCGCACATACAGAGCGGCGTTTCAGGCAGAGCAACAACACCGAATTGATTCCTCTTTCGCTTGAACAGACACACACGCAAAATTATCTCAAAATAACTACCTCGGCAAGTATTTTCATGTCTTAACTGAACGTAAACAGTAGAGAAAGAAATCGCACGTGCATCTTTATATTGGATCCGTGCACTCGGTCTTAAAGGGGGAGCAGCCTTGCTGTTTAAGCACCACCTGCTGTCAGAGAGTGACATTTGCGTCTCATTCAGCCCGTCTGCTGTTTTTGTTTCTTTCCGATTTTGTATGTAGTATCACAAAGCTAAAGTCAAACCATTTTGTTTTTGTTTCAAATTTCAACATTTTACAATCTAAATAACATGTATGCAGTATCTTTGTTTGGATCGTGATTAAAATACACAGGCAAAACCTTAGTTTACTTGCATGGAGAAATTTCTTTTATTTGTATTATTTATTTATTTGATTTGGGATTTGTTTTAAAATTTCAAGTTGGTATATTGCTTGACATTTTCAATTTCACAAAGTAATGTGCAGCCTTTTGGTCTGAGAAATAACAAAAGGACACCTTTTTTCAAATCTGTCTTGAATCTCATTTTGTTAAAGAAATTGTGAGAAAATTGCATTGTGAAATCAGTGAGTTGAGTGAATCGTGAGTTGAGTGAATCGTTACATCCCTATATGCTACTAGTTTTTGCTGTGATATCGAAGTAGTAAATTGTTCTTTAAATAATAAGTGTTACTTAAATAATAAAGAATCATATTTTTTTTTGAGCATCTGAAAAATGATCCGATCTGTGACTCAAAATGTGATATGATAATGTAATATAATCCGAACCGTGAGATTTGTGATCTGCAAAATGAATTTAATTTTCAACACCCCTACTCTATTGACTTGTTATTTGAAGAAAAAATACAATATCTTTTATTTGGGCTAGTTAAATTCATTTTTGGGCTACCAAAATCTGAAGAATGCCTGCCCAAAGGGCTACCAGGGATTTTGAAATTGTGCAAGCCCTGGACGATTAGAGAGAATATCTCAACAAAATGTGTCAATGTTTTGCTGTAGATACCAGCAATGTTTTATACTGAAATGTTTTTGAGTGACCCTCTAATTAAATTCAAAGAGTAATTTCACAAAAAACAAAACCTTTTCACATGGAAAACAGTCAGTTTCCCACATTACAGGTGAGTTATGCCTATTATATTTTGCTTTGGATATGATATGACAATGCAGAATTAGGCACAATTATGTGAGACTCTTATTATGTTATGCTTGTTCAAACGGTTTTCGGCCAGTGTAAGGACTGATATACTGATGCCTGGTTATGTTGAGGTTTGTTCCTGGAGTCATTCAGTTTCAGTCAGGCTTTTGTCATGGCAGCTGTTGAAATGCGCATTAATCCTTGGCTAGGGATTGAGAATCACTAGCACTCTAGCTTTGTAACGTTGGTGAAATGGATGTGGCTTAGCTCTGGTTTTGGGATGCTTTTGTCGGGGAGGGGGATCTTGGAAATATTTCTCTATGAACCATCTGAACAACTTGTGCCCAGGACGACAAGACCGTTTTGTGAGACCTGAGCCTGCTGGTAAGCAAGTGTTCAGGACAGGAAACAGTGCTGAAAATATCAATATGAATCTGATGAATCTAATCTTTGGATCAAATTCAGTTTGAATTGAATTAATTGAATTAATTAAATTTTTAATGGGGTTGAAATCCAACTAGGTCCTGCAGACCATTAGAAACACTGATTGAATAAAAAATAAAAAGAAACAAAAGCTGTCACTGGGCCAGTACCCTTTCAAAAGGTACTAATATGCAGGAGTGCACATACGTTTTTCAGCCTGGTTCTCATAAGAGAACCTGGAGATTTGGTTTGGTCCTCACACTGCACATAGTGTAAATGAATTTTTATTTACATTTTATTTTATTTTATATTTTATAGTAAGCATAAAAATAAAGATTTTAAAGATGAATTTTCATTATTTTCAAACTTAAAATCAGCAGGCTTTTATTTTTGCGGGTTGCCGGCAAGTTAGTATATGCGCTTCCGGGTTTAGCACATCAGTAAATGAAATGTCACAGTTTTGCATTGTGCTTTGAAAATGGCAGCGGGTAGCCTAGATTTATTTATCTATTCAGTTTGAATAGAAATCTTATACAGTATTACAGTTTGTCGATCTAAAATGGTAATTGTGCATTAACGGCTGTCAACCATGTCGGTATGCGTACCATTTATGTGCGCACCCCTGCTAATATGTACATTTTGGGTACTAATAGGTATCTTTAAGGTAGTAATATGCACCCTTTAGGGGAAAAAATAATAAAATAACATTTAGAAAATTTAATAAAATGTAAAATATACAGTCAAACCAAAAATTATTCAGACACCAGATATAATTTTTGATATTTTTCTACTAGTGGGTGCAGGACACTATAGTTCATTTTTTACTTTTATTTAACATGATTTTTCTATTTAAAATCACTTTAGTAAATTATATTTGATGCAGCCACCAAAATGGGACGTCTTGTCTCGTATAATATAAATAAAAATAAATAAATAAACAAAATTCTGTCTATTAATTTCATGTCTAGTATAATAACAGTGTTCAATATTGTAAATCTTCAAAGCTCCTGTCAGGCAGGCTACAGTCTAACGTACACATTGTGACGTGGAAAAGATACTTAATGTATGTTCTTGCTTTACTGTTCAAGCAATAATTCCCAGTATTCAAGACGACAATATAATTTCCTTCAGATGTCTAATGTTGCATTATAAATTTCAGTGTGACACATTTAAAAATGCATAAAGTGTTTGCCTTCACATATTTTCTGATAGAGTGTATTGCATGGTTTATGGTCACTTATATATTTGTGCATCTGTAATTGTGCTGTTTTTCCACTGTGGGAAAAAAAATAACCTTTATGTGGAACGTCCCAGACCACTCAGGTTGAAGTTCCAGAATCAACAAAACACTTTTGACTTGAGTATTAGAGATGTAGAGCAAAAATCCTTAAAGAGAAACTTTCGGTAAAATTGCTAAAAAAAAATTGGGACCAAAAATTATTCAGACACTTTGACCTTGACCATGTTTTGCTTAAGTGTTATCTGACATTATCAAGATGAATTTTTTCTGACACAGTTTAACTCTGAGTTCTTATCATGTTTTATTACCATTTTTTAAACTATAGCGAATAAACTGTGATAATGTGAGAAATGTTGAAGGTGTCTGAATAAATTATG